AAACAATAGAAGAAAAAACATACATCAGTACGGATGGTACTACTACTGCTAGTATACACCCTCCTGAAAAAAGTATAATACTAAAGGGTGTAATAACCCCTTTAAGCAAAGGAGAACCACCACAATCCCTATATGATATTATTGCAACACCATATAAGGTTCTACCAAAAGAAATAGGTAAAAAGCAAGAATTAATACCTCACATAGTAGAACAAAACGATTATACAAATTTATATATGCAATCTTTAGAAAAACAAACAGAACGGATAGAAAGATTAGTTACTCCCCAAACTAAGGGAATAACTCCTTCTATTCCCAAAGCGGTTTTTTTCAAACCTCCTCCATAACTGAATAAAACTAAATTCTATATGGGAGAATATACTAAAACATTAATGGACCAGTTGATATCTAAATTAACCCAATTAGATATAAAAGGAATCCCTTCTCCCAAACTCAGTATTCCTATACCAATACCCAGTATTTCTGTACCTTTACCAACTATCCCAAAATCTTCAGATAGGGGAAAAACAAAGATACCGGAGCATGAAACTATGATGCCCCAAGAAGAGGAACCAGTTATAGAAGATACCATACAAAACCAAGAATCTGCTTTTATGGATACGTCACCCATTAATTTAAATAGAATAGCATATGGTAAAACATGGAAACCAATCACAGCTTTACCATACTATAAGAGACCTATACCTGTTGACGTACAACTCGAAGAGGATGCCATACAACAGGCTGTTTCCTATTCAGGAAGATCAATAGTCAACTGGACAATATATGGTTTATCAGAACTAAAAATATTAGATGTCATGAGACATATGACAATGTTTGCTTCAGCAAACAAAATGGCAGGCAATCCAGACCAAGAGGTTGCCAAAGCAATAGTGAATGGATTCCTGGCTTGTTAAGAGGCTGGTGGGATTTCTATGTTGATGATGAAACCAAAAACAGAATCCTCACTAATACAAGACAATGGACCACCAAAAATGAACAAAATCAAGAAATAATTTATACTGAAAGTGATGCAGTAAACTCCTTAATATATATTATTACACTACATTTCGTAGGAAGTACAGCATTATTAGCAGCAAGATCAGAAGATCTGCTGTCCAACCTTCGCTGTCCTACTTTATCCCATTATAAATGGTATAAGGATGTCTTTTTCTCAAGATTACTTATACGAGAAGATTGTCAGTTAGACCATTGGAAAGAAAAATTTATTGCTGGTCTACCATACCTATTTGCAGAAAAAGTCAAAGAACGACTAAGAAAGAAACATAATGGAGTTATCATATATTCTGCATATACACTTGAAGAACTATCAGCAGAAATATGTGCTGAAGGATTAGATTTATGTACTGATCTTAAACTCAAAAGACAACTTGATAAACAACAAATTACCAAGCATAAAGAACTTAGTGATTTTTGTGAACAATTTGGTTATCATCTAGATAGAAAAAATAAACCTGAAAAATTATATAAGGAAAAAAAAAATACAAAAAGGAAAACTATAGATCCGATAAAGTACAGAAGAAATATAAAAAATCTAAATAGAAATTTATAAAAAAGTTTTCTCCAAATACTAAAAATAAAAAGAAACTACCAGTATGTTATAAATGTGAAAAAGTTGGCCACTACAAACACTAATGCAAATTAAAAAAGAAAATAGAAGCATTACACCTAGATGAATCAATCAAATCAAAATTATATAATATAATTAATTATGATACAACCTCCTCAAATTCTACTGAATCACTTATAGGGAATATTCAAGATGACGACCTAATATGGACAGAATCATTTGATTCTTCAGATTCTTCTACTGATACAAAATGATCTCATCAAATGGAAGAATCCAATTGCATTTGTCCTATACCCACACATAATCTTCATATGCTTACCCAAGAAGATAATTTAATATTAGATCTCATAGAAAAAATTACAGATCCAGAAGAAAAAAGATCTGTGATTACTAAATTTATTAATCTAGCTAAAACAAAAGCAAAAATATCGCCTATTAGTAAAACACCTGATGAATATAATTTTGCCTCTATTATGAAAAGAGTTAGTGAACAACACTTCACTAAACAAAAAGAACCTTTTATTTCAGACCTTAAACATGAAATTAAAGAAGTTAAAAAAGAGGTTTATCAATTTAAAAATAGAATTAAAATCCTAGAATTACAAAATTTATCTCATCAAAATTCAGATACAGATGAAATTGACTTCAATCATCTTGTCACAACATATAGTCCGAATCCACCGGAAGATATACCAGAAACCTCAGAAGCTAAACCACTTATTATCACAACTTCTTCTGTAAATCTGATAGATAAAATTATGATTCAAAAATGGTTTGTTCAAGTCACTATTATAGTTGCTGAAGATTATCGCTTTCAAACATCAGCTTTAATAGATTCAGGTGTTGATCTTAATTGCATCAATGAAGGATTAGTATCAACAAAATATTTTGACAAAACAACTCAAATCCTAAATACTGTAGATGGCAGTCGACTCTTTATCAATTATAAACTATCCAATACATCTGTTTGTAATAATCAACAATGTATCAACACATCATTCATCATGGTCAAAGGACTAAGCCAAGCTATTATTCTTGGAGTCTCATTCCTTACATTACTATATCCCTTATCAATAGATCAAACAGGAATATCTTCTAATTATCAAAATGTACTAATACATTTTGACTTCATTCATAAACCAAAATTAAAAGAAATCAATAGTATCAAAAGACAATTACAAAATAAAGAAAACTTTCTTTGTACGTTAAAACGAGAAATTAAATATAAGTGATAACCCGCCTTTGGCAACCTTTTCACCTTCCATTTCTTCTATTCACCAAATCACTTATCCAGACACTAATACATCCACTCCCGCCTATACTCCAGCTCAATCAAAACCAACCCAAAGGCCTAATGTTCATCGCTCTGCATATATTGAACAAGCATATCTTATGGATATTACAATAGATGACCACCATACTAATATGGATCCTATTAAACTTGCTCCATTATATCTTATAAACCATTTGAATCCAACCAATGGAGTCAAAACTCGTGAGTATTATGAAGCCATTCTTATGGAAACAGGATCCATCTCTGTTGTCCATTACTACCAGCAAAATACCAAAGTAATTGCATATTCAAAAATAAAGATCAAGAAATTGCTTTCTTATGATGAGTGAAGTTGCAATCCTGCTCAAGGAAAAAAATTACATAATCCTAATTTTTCATACAAATATTACAAATATGCCTAGTACATAGAAACCTGGCATAAAATGTTTTATTACCAAAATCCAAATAACACTCATAGCTGGTACATTCAGTTTCGCTTACCCATTTTCGAACGATTCCCCAAGTTTAAAAATTGGTTTTTAGTTTGGGGATCAACTACTTCAATTTTACCTCCTGCTTTCCAAAAAATGCAGGAACAATTTGTTATATTCAATAATAGTGACGATAATACAAACAATCACTTATACTTTGTTGCACTATACCAACTCTCATGGATTATGAAATGGGAATACTCAATCTCTGTCAATAATACACCCGACCATACTTACATCCCACGCCTGGGAAAAACCATCTTAGTAAAATGGTGGGACATCTTCAATATGAATCCCACAACCATAGTTCCCAAATGCATATATATATGGAAAAAGCTAACAATAACTGGCCAGCGATAATAGATGGTAATATAGGTAGAATGAGAGTCGTCAAATCTTCATCATGTGGTTCAAAATGCATATCACTGTTTTAATTTTAATTATTTTTCTATAAATCAGATCATAATGAAATTTTAGACAAGTGTACTAAAAAGAGGGCGCACATATAAAAAATATTTTTTACTCTACACCAAAAAAGCGGCTCGAGGTCTCTTCCCTACATGTGCAGGAAAGAAAAACCAAGGCAACTCTCTTTCTTTCTCTCTCTACAGAAGCATCTGACTCTACGCGTGAAGACATCTCTCTAAAAGCTGGGGCAAAAGAGGGGAATCTCTCTCTCTCCGTGTAAAAATCAGGGTAAAGAAGGCAAGGCAAATAGTGTACTCTTTCTACACGAGCATGATCGGTCCAAAAATGCATTATAAGATCACTACTTTCAAAACTTGAAATTCATTTTTTTTCTCATGTCCATGCTTCTTGATGTCGAGATGATCGATTTGATAATATTTGGACATCAAAACAACTTCTTCTAGTGAATTTTTTGAAGTACGCTCTAATTTGATTGTTTAGAGCCTCGGCTCTATATAAACTTTTCCATATACTTTTTAAAATTTATTTTTTGTATTTTAAAAAAAAAATTGACTGGCCAGGACTTGCCTAGTTAGGCCGGTCTAACTAGCCGGTTATTCGGAACCAGCCCTTAGCCAGTTTTCAAAGCCAGATCGATTTTTTCGAACACTTAGTTGAAAGGAATGGCACTATGAGATTCCATCTTACACCAAGTCAGACCCCAGCTAGCTGCGTGCATGCTAGTCCAGGGGATCAGAAACTTGGTGAGAGAGTAGGCTTCTATAGGCTATAAAGTGGGTGTAGTGTGTCAAGCAATCCACGCAAGAGTAAAGGTTGGCTATCCTGTAACCCATGAATTTGAAACCATTTACTGATGATTATATAGTGCAAATAGAATTAGGCCATGGCCCTTGTCCCCTTGCTTGTCCATTACTTGTGTGTATTGGTGTGAGCCGCCTAACTGGCTTGAGCCACCTGCACTACGTAGAACCAGATGAGGCAGATCACTAGCAACCAATCCGGTCCAAATCCACTTTCTTAGGGCAGAACTAACTGCAGAGGTTTTAAATTGTTTTTGGGTCCTCAATCCATCAGTTTCCTAAGTTCTTGTAGTATGAACACGTTTCAAAATATCAATGAAAACATTTGTTTTAGTTTCTTCCTGTATAAGTTTAGCACATCGAAAACTAATTTGTCAAGTTCCAATCAACACCGCAGTGAAGTAGTTACACAGATAGAACCAATTTCATAGTTCATTAGATTTATTTGAATACATGTATAGAGAGCGAGAAAGAACAGAGAGAGAGAGAGAGAGAGAGAGAGAGAGAGACCCACAGGGGGAAGGGGGAGAGAGAAACCCACAATAAGCAGCAACAAGAACTCAAATTAGCTTCTTGGTGCATGCGGACAAGAACTCAAATTGGGCTTCTTGATGCATGCGGCAAATTACAAAAACTGCCGAAATGTAAAATCATAGTGAAAATAAACTGTACAGCAAATAACATATATATCTCCTATCACCCACATGAATTCCCCTTTCTCTTGACATTATCTACACAAACGCATGCAGGCATACCAACATCTCGCCTCAAATCAGCCGAACCCAAAACCTTCATTCCCTTCATGGATCGCCAAAAGTAGCCTCTCCTGCAACTGCTGCTTTGTGGGGTATTCTGGTAAATCCAGCTGGTTGAAACTGCATGGAAGTTCTCTCATTAAAAGACTGTTCTATATTATCCATTTTAATTGCAATCAAGATATTACAATCAAGAAAATGGATTCTCTCCTTGTTGTTTTGGAGTGTGCAGAGAATAAAATCATTTACATTTGGACAAAAATATCAATCACCCCTAGTCACCAGATATGAAATACGACAGTTGGGGGCTGCATCATATTTTCTCTACACAACCCAAGAGTTCTTTTCTAGGACTTTGGAATATGATCAGTAGGGCACCGTCAGCCACCAGATTTCACATCTGATGGCTAAGGTAATTGTGATCTTTCTGTACCCAAAGGCATTTTTATTGGTGCAATCACAAAAGATGACTAATGGTACATACCAAGTATGAGCAGATGGCAAGTGATCAGGGCTGCCATATGCCTTGTGGATCTGGAATCTTTGCGAGCCAGAGATCCCTTGAAGCGCCCTAAAACCTTCCAAGGGCACCTGCAAATAACGTATTTTGTAAACAATAATGCCCAAGAGAAAATACCTCTCTTTACAACAGTGCCCACGAGAAAATACCTCTCTCGTGCGTGCACACGTAGACACAAACACACAACCCTATGCATCAAGGGGCCATTGGGGACAGATGACAGATATAACAGTGCATGTGAGCATGTGTGCACTCGACAGAAGGCAGAGTTGCATATAGCAGCCTTGCAAGTTGTGCATGAGAGAGACAGAGAGAGGGAGGGGGGGAGGGAGGGAGGGAGGGCGGGAGAGGAGCTAAGCTACTAAGAAAACAAAGAAGAGCTAAGAATTAGCAATTGTTGGTCACCACAATGAAACTTCTTGATACGTATTTAAATAAAAGACTCAGAATAAACAAGCTTACCTTGGAGGTTCCAGTCACAAACTGCAGAAGACGGGCCTTGTCTTCTTTGCTGAAACCATTAACCACCTCCCAAAACCACTGAATCACAGGCGAGGCGGCACTGTATCCTGAGTACTCTGTATTCGCTCTGAGGTCATCCACTACAAGCCACACAGATAGGAATTATTATCTACTCCAAGAAAAGGATGCACTTTTATGTTCATTTATAAGCCGTTCTTCGCAAAGATACAAATAAATATCGGGAGATGAAGTTGAGAAAACTAATACACATTGAAACAACTTTAGCAATGAAAATCTCACTTTGCCAACAGACAGATAGCAAGATCTCTTACATGAGAAAATATTATTACAAGACGAGGTAAAATAAGAAATAATAGGAACCCCACAGGAATACAAGAACAAATAAAGATTAAAAATCATTGAAATTTAAAACACAGATGCTATCGTAAGCAATGCTGTTCTTGCAATTTAAGTGTAGTCGGAGAGAGAACAGGTTGTAACTTACGATCAATATCAGGAAGCCCACTGATTAATAATTCCAGTTCCTTGTCATGGAATATGGATATCAGTTCCCTTGGGATTAGTTCATTGAAACCCTCCATAAATGCATTTATCTGAGGCCTAATTGCAGTCGTGAGCTTATGCTCTGCCACAAGATCAACATATTCGTGTTTATTTTCCTCAGTAACTCTCACATTGCGGCCACCAGGAATCAATTCATAATCAGTCACCTGGCATCAGTTCCCAATAATTAGCTTATGTTTCTTATCAGTATGAGCCACAAAGCACCTTGTTATGCTGCTTATGCAATAATCCAAAATAATGCAACAGCAATAACAGATGATAGCCAAATTAGAAAGAAAAACTACCTCTGTTCTCTCATACAATATAAGTTTTTCCTCATCTGCATCCACGCTGAAAGTAAGGTCTAAGATGTCACTTGTATCATTCTGCAATAAAGATGAAAAGAATACCATTTAGATAAATACGGAGGTACGAAATTTTGAAAGACTTAAGGAAAGCAAACAAACAAGTGAACTCGTAAAGGCATATGAGAGTACCTCTAGCATCCACTTCAAGTTTTTGAAGAAGTCAGGATCAATAGCCTCAATGTCATGATAGGTGACCTTAGCTCCAAGAATGTGCTTGTAGAAGGACCGAGTAAAGTGAACATCAAGAAGCTGCCCATCAAATAGGGCCTTTGCAACCTGAAATAGACAAATATTAGGATTGCACAGCTATCTAGGATTCTAAGCACCATGCTGAAATGCAATGAGAATAGTATATGGACCTTCAGCTTTTTAAATACAATTTTAACCACATCTAGTTCTTTTAATAGCCAAATTGTGGTAAAATAGTCATGTAAAAAATTTGAAAGCACAAGATATTGTTTAGATATGCCAAATTTTATGACCCACTAGCATGATCAAACACGCTCCCGATCTGATATTTTTCTTAGGCCAAACACACTTACCACTCGTCCGACAAACTTGAAGTATGAGAGATGCTCAGTCTGAAAAACAGAGTTAGGATTGGGCTGGAACGTGGATTCATTGCCCACAGTAGTGAAAAGCAAAGCGCCCTTATCGAAGATGACCCTGGACAACAACTGATACCACTCCCTAGTCAGTCCACCAGCATCAATGCCTTCCTCCCCTTGAAAATGAACAGTCAGTCGACCCTTCAAATCTTGGGTTGATCTCATTCTGAGCTGGTTATAAGAGTCCTCGAGAATATAGGCCCTCCTCACTGAAATTCTCAAAGGACTATGATGATGGTCATGTTGGTGTTTTATTTTTGATCTGAAATGAGCTCGTTTGTTGTCAAAATCAATGAAACGAGGGACTTTAAGCATGATAGAAAAGGACTTCTCGAGCAAGCCTGGGTTCTGCCTAATGAAAGAATTCAACAGCTTCCTGTGCTTCTCTGAGAACTTCACAAAGGCGCCATGCTTGTCATCAACCTTTGAATGGCTGGCTGAGGACTTTTGAGAAGCATCTTCAGCCTCAGGAGTTGAGACATTGGCGAAGTCATAGCCCGGCCCTAATTGCCCTGGTCCTAGCTTTTCACAAGTCACAAAGAAAGACTCTATGTATGGTAATATATTTTGAGTACCAGCTGGAAGGGGAGGAACTACACTTGTAGAAGTAGAGGGGGAAGAACCAGAGAGAGTAGGCAAACCATCCGAGGAGCTACTCTCTATTTTGCTTATGCAGATGCTTAACTCTTGCCACAAGGGTTCCAAGGCTGCATTCAAGTCCCACACCTGCATAATCGGGTCATTTTGCTCTCTTTCAGAGAGGACTTGAGCTTCTTTTTCTCTCTCTAGCAAAGAAGAGACCAGTGAGCTCAGGGCTTGAAGAACTCTGAGAATTGCCGTCCCATCTGTTGAAGAAGTGCTTAATAGCATGTCTTCTGCCTCACCATAACTACGGAGTTCAGTTATTGCAGATTGACTCAAGCTTTGAATGGAATCAGCGAGCTCGGAGATAAAGAGACGGCAATGTGTGGAAGCTATGGCCACCAGTTTCTTTATAACCTCAGCAATGAGAACATAAGCATTATCCGACAACCTGGAAAAAAATATCCACGCAAACTGGAATGAGCAAATAAGAATTCAAAGACAATAAGATAAAACTTAAGGTCAATACTATCGAACTATCTATTGAAGTTTAGAAGAGTGGCACTGAGATTTGCTAAAGTATATGCAGCATAAAAAATTTGAAGGATGTTTCATATACGCGTCCATGTATGTAAGCATCGTTTACTTTGCAACAGAGATGCTTCATTTGAATAACAAGCCATCATATTTTTCTCCCAGACAATTATAAAACGAGCCTTTGTTAACAACTAAATTATTTTGCACCCAATACCAACAAATTAAACTTGTACCAAATCAAGGACCATCAATGGCACCAGCCAAACACTAGAAAGTCATAGGAGATTCAAAGCTCCACTTCACAAATGAGGGATTTCATTAGAAACACAATAAAATTAACATATTTAATAGGGATTGTATACAATGAGACCATTGCCTTCAGCAAAGGTTACAAACATCCCAGGCCATCAGATGTAAAATCAGACAGCCGTGATGCATCATTTCCGCACACAAAGCCAAGGAAAATTTTCTCAGATGGACACCAAGTACAGTTAACATTGCATCCCCAGCCCCTCAAATCATATCTGATGGATAGGGATGATTGCAGATTTTTTGTGCCAAGGGTGAATCATCTTATTGTGAACTCCGTTTATTTAAGAATACAAGGTAGTCATTAGTGCACATGTAAAAACTTAAGATATGTAAAAACTTACCCTTCTCGTGCAAGCAAAGAGCACAAAAGTCGAAGCTCCAATGTAGGAAGATCGCATAGCACAGCAGAAACATTATTTTCATCGCTAGTGCCAGAAGCCGAAGGCCGTGAATCCTCATCAGTCTCAATTGGTTTGACTTCCTCAGTAGAAGACGACCCAACATTGCTAGCATTTGCCTGGCTATCTGGCAAGGCACTCTGAGACGCAGACGGCTGTTCCAGTTGAGACCCACCGGACTTGTTTGATAAGTTTGATTCACTTTCCGCATTGTCCATGATAACTTCAAGGAGATTCAGCAACTGATAACAAGAGAAAAAAAATGATCCATTAATATTCCAAAAGAAAAGGTTGCCGTTCACCAAAGACAAAAAACTATAATCCAAAGGACCATGGAAAAATCTTAGTCCATTGGGACCTCACCCCCAGAAGGGAATGATGAGCAATGATGGACATAGAAAGGCAAACAAAGTTATGACCCCAATGGCAGGTCCACTCTTTCTCCATCGGTATCCATAATTTTATTGGACAGCAACAATCGAATAGGCCCATGATTATAAGTTCTTTCCCCCTCAACAGACAAACCCACTTAACTGAAATCAAAGGCACAATAGACTACCTGTTCAAGATGAGCCACACTTCTGGAATAGAGAGGCTGATTCAAGAGGCTTAAAAGCAAGACTATGGATACATCTCCCTTCAGTTTCATTTCTTCTTGGTCATCATCCAAAATCATCACAGCTTTGCCACGGGCCTGATCAGATAAATTAGATTTTTTTAAAGAAGGTTGTGGTAGCTTGAGATGAAGTAGGAGTTTTGCAACATATGGATGATTCCGGGCCAAGTATATCAGAACTTCCAATACACGCCGGGAGACCAGGGGAGGAACTCCTGTTAAGTAATGGAAGCAAAGAAGGATGAATTAGTACCTCCAACTTTAGAATCACTAGTAATAGCATTTCCAAAATTCGTGAGAATGGCCAAACATTTCAAAGAATGAATAAAAGGCCCTCCACATAAGCCATGTTCATGATGAGAATAGAGAAATGGATTCACAAGAGTTTCACAATTTTTATGTCAGAGTAATATAAAGAAATCATTGTTAATATTATTTATCAATGAAATGGGAACCACAAATCAAGATGTACAAAGACCCGAAATCTTTACCAAGAAAAAAAAACACACACGAGGATCTATGAACTCATTCAGAAATAGTCAAGAAACAAATATTAAACCTTACCATCCAAGAATTGGGGTCTAGAATAAATCACATTATTTGGGCATGCATATAACCGGTAAGATGGTTCTCCAGCATAAGTTGAAGTACTTCCCATTCCCCTCTCATCAAGCATAAGCATATCCATTAGAAGCTGCACCAATGCAGTTCTGGTCTCACGGTGGGCACAAAGGTTCAACAGAAGCCGTTGCAGTTGGCCTTTGTACAATGGCTGCATAAAAATATCGTTCAAGATCACATAATTGTTGTCATGAATAGAAAACATGCATCGATTACTTCAATCACAACTAGTAAAAACAAAATCAAAATCGAGCTTCAAGCTTCAGAAAAGGAGTTAGTTTATATCACCAGCTAAATGGAATAAAATATCATTGCATCTCATAAGTTATAAATGAATGACAACCTGAACAACACGAAGAAGACGTATCATAGCTTTCAAAGCATCTGTATCAACCAAAGGAGCACCATCCGCTTCAACTAGCTTGCTTCCATTTGATCTCCGTGAAACAATGCCCCCTCTGTCTAAACTGGATGGACCCGTATCACCCCTACCAGAAGATTCACCACGCCGATTCCTAGGGAACATTCCAAAAAGCGTACCACCGTGGTAACGGTGTGCAAACCTTTCACGTAGCATATTTGCCTCAGCAACAAGGGCAGGAGTCAGATTAGCCAAAATGGCATCCGACGATGTCAACAGAACCTAATATTGAAAATAAAAATAAAATAAAAAATAAAAAATGAGAAGCTGAAGTACATGTGAAATTTTGTACACCACAGGAAAACCTCATCCAACTCAATTCAATAGAAAAACGAAAAACAAAAATATATATATAGGGGAGAGAGAGAGAGAGAGAGAGAGAGAGAACAGCTACCTCTTCTCGCAGATCAGATGGAAACGTTGCAATTATCGAAACAGTATCCATTTCAACAGGCTGTCCTTCCAACTCCTGAGACTGATGCAACCTCTGAGCCTGTTGTTGAGCCAGCACTTCAGCTCGAATATCAGGAGGGAGGGCAGCAAGGAATTCAGGGTCAATGTCTCCATTAGTTTGCGGTTGTTCAGCAGGAGGCTGAGCCACTTGATTCTGCTGAGCAGAAAGGACCTCCGCCCTGAGCTCTTCAGGAAGAGCATCAAGGAAAGCAGGATCAATAGAAGCAGACTCCATATTTGCATTATTCTGGTTTTCCTCTGCCCTCTCATTTTGTTCAGCTCCTTCTTGACTAGGCTCTCGGGATACTTCACTAACACTTTGCAAAGAAACATCTCTACTGCTTGCTTGCATTGGAACTGACGGCCTTCTCACTCCCAATGTCATTCTCTCTGATGGGGCATGCCTGTCTCCTCCATCATCATGGCCATCAGCGCTGCCTATTTCGACTTCCAAGCTCCTGAGGCTCTCTCCAAGAGTAGCCCCACTGCCACCACTCTCTTGACTTACTGCTTCCACATCTTGAACCGCTGCATCGGTGCGCTCACATTGCATTTCAATGGGGGGCTCACCCTGTGAGTGTGGTGCATCGGTTCCCTGAAGAAAACCATGCTCAGAAGAAGGACACACCATACCAGCATCTCCAGATGCATCCACGACAGCTGGGTTAGAGGACCGAATAACCCCACTTTCACTGTTTGTGGTGTTCCCAGTATCAACTGGTGCTTCTTCTGCTACCCCAAGCTCAGTATCTTGCATCTGGTTGGCCTCCATCTTATCGTGGGTTGGGGGAGTTGTGGTAGCAGCCTGGTTAGAAGGCTGATCAGGAGTCGGCCTCCTCAGTTGTGAAATAAATAACTCTTCGATGCCTTGAGCGATCGTAGAGGCATTAGGTCCCCCTCGTTGCTGGCTATCATCTGCCCAAATACTGAAACGGTTGCCATGGCGTCCACTCCTCAGCGAGCGAAAAATAGCATCCAAACGTGAGGAAGCATTATCAAAGTTCCGGTCTGAGAAGGCCATATCACCTGAAATCTCTGAAAAGTGAAACCAATACTTGTTACAGATTATAAAGGCTAGGAAAGTCATGTATGCTAAAGTTAAATTCCAGATAAAGTCATATATGCTAAAGATAAATTCCAGATATCTGGGGAGTTTCAGGTGGACCCAGAAGCCTAAATCTTGATTACAGATCAAATTAAGGCACTAAAGATATTCTGTTAAGTCAACAGTAAAGACATGGCTTAAATTTCCAACAGGGGGCCAATTTTGGGATAAGATCAAGAACAAGACACCTTTTAAATTCTTTTTTAGAGAATGATAAATTCTTTATTATTAGAAAAGCACTTTCAGACTTTTGACAGATTAAGGAGAGATTACATCTAATTTTGATCAGAAATCTAGCTTAAAATTTGCAAATATAAAATGCCGATAAAAATGGAGGCTTGCCTGATTGTCTGAGAGTCATTGATTGTGATGAGGTAGAAGGCTCAATCAAAAGAGGATGCCGAAGAGGAACTCCATGATCACCAGCTCTACCAAGCAAGTTATAAATAGAAGTGGTGCGGCCCTGTCGTCTGGAGCCAAAAACTTCAACAGGCATCACCCGAAGAGAGTCATTGGGGAAATTACTATCCCTACCAAGAACCTCAAAATGGTCAAGGACATTGATCCCATTAATACCGTCTTCCAATCTAACAATGAGCCCATTCTCATCGTCTTCATCTTCATCCTCGTCTTCCTCCAAAACATCCTCATCAAACTCATCCTCATCAATCTCATGGTCATCATGGTCATCCTGGTCAGTGTCTGGGTGTGACAAGTGATGGACCTCATCCTCATCTAAATCATCATTATCCTCCTCATCCTCATCTTCATCCTCATCTACTTCCTCTCCCCCACTCATCTCCTCGTCATCGTCCTCATCAATTTCATGGTCATCATGCCCATCATGCTGAATGTCAAAACTGATCCCGACTGTGGAGACACCATTTCCGAGACCTCCAGCCTCCTCAGAATTATCATGCATATAATCATCTTCTGCATCAGGAGCATCATCCCGATCATGCTCCATATCATCTGTAACGGAGTCAGACCCACCAGAAGTAAGAGCCCCGCCAAAAGACTCTAACTGCTCAGTTGCCATCTGATTAGAAGCCGGTTGAGCAGGAGGCTCAGAGGTTTGACCCACTCCATTTCCATTCTCACTTCCCCTCAGTTCCTCTGAATTCGAACCAGGGTTTGTTGGCGTGTCAACTTTTGCAGAGTGAGAGTCAGCAGACTGGACTTGCTCCTTGGTTACAGCCTCCAAAGCCTTGACAATTGCGGTTACAAGCTTGGGCGAGTCGGGATGATCCAAATCCAAGATCTGGAGAGTTCGAGTCAATGACCTAACCAAACCAACTTCACTGAAAGTTGCAGCAACCTCTGCCGATATATATGAACCAGTGGGCGAGCGAGCAGCCAAGATTTCATTTATCAGATCTATGAAGGACTGCATTTTACAATCCGGTGCCCTAAATTCATCAGAACCAGATGACCCGACAAAGTCATTGAAGACATTACTGATCTCAGAAAAGATCCTTCTCCTGGCTTCAGCAGACCGGATGGAGGCTGCCAACAAGAACTGGCTAGATCTAGTGGCTAGCTTCTGCCTCCAATCGCCATCTGATTTCTTATCTTTCTTTTGGTTTCCAGGAGAGGGAAGAAGCTTGTGAAGGACATGGTAAAATACACCCCTGATGCCAGTTGCTGAGGATCCTCTCTGAGGACCCCCACGAGAGCAGCTTATTTCAGCATCCCTTCGAAGGAGAACATGCACTGATGAAGAATATGTCAAGAGAATTTCAGTCAACAACTTCAAAATGAAAACATTCTTGGCTAGTGACGCCGATGCTTCTTGGTTACTATCTGATTTGTCTTCACAGGGAGCAGCAGCAATGGCTTTTCCTTTTCCTTTACTTGAAATTTCATCAATTTCCATATCGACTGATGAAGATGCTCCATCTGTTTGGCTGACATCTTTCAAGGAGGGAACAAATGCTACAATTGAATCCAATAGGAGCTCAATCACTGTTATAAAACTCTGAGGAGATTTCCTATGTGCTTTACTACTCTTCACACTTGTATCTGAAGCTTTGCTTGGTGTGTCACCTGTTGGACTTTTTCCCTCCAAAGACTGCAGATTCTTATCTTTGTCAGATGGTTTATCCTTGTCCTTCGATTTCTCCTTCTCTCGATCTTTCAGCAGCACCACATAAGGCCTTTCTCCAACCATCTCAATCTGGCAAACTGATTGAGCAGCTAGCATAAAAACCGCCGGGTCCCTAGTAATCACTGAAGCCAGGCCTGTAAGAAAGTTTCGTGGTGTCACCCTGCCATTTGAATTCCTATTCAAAGCTGCAACAAGACTGTGCCTTATCTCGGACTCCATAGCTTGCTGGAGAGTGTGCGGGTCTTCAAGAATGTGCCTGACTATAGTGGCTGCCACATTGTCGAATCCCGAAAATAGACTGACTGTAGGTAAGGAAAGAAGAGAGTGCAACCCTCCAGCCTCGAGGAAAGTCACAGAAACAGCATGAACTCGGGTAAGCGTAGCACATAGCTGGAGAACAACATGCATAGTTTCAGAAGGAAGTTGATCCCGAATAAAGCCACAAGCAATTTCAATGAGCCTCTTCTGTTCTGGTAGTGTTGTGTGACGTGCTGTTAACCCCAAGGAAGTCTGTAATTTATTACTGGATGCATTTTCGTCATTCACTAGAGAATTCTCCGTCTTAGTCTCATCCTTCCTTGACTGATCAGAAATTTCAGAACTGGGTTTTGGGTCCACCTGCAACATCTCATCAATAGCCAGCAAAGATGCAGTGACCCATTTGGGCACATGTGTCTTATCCCCATCTAGAGAGCTCGGGTGCCATTGAGCAAGCAAGTTCAAGGCTATACCAGTCAAGCCATGCTTTGCTGCAACTTCCCTAGAGGCAGTATCCTCATGGAGAACCAAAGCAAGAACATGAAATAGGGCAGACAGCAATGTGGTGTTGCCACTGCTGAGCTTTATATGATCAATCACAAAGGTAACAACTTTGGGCCTGCAATTGCCATCATTTCGAGAGCACATCATTACCAGTAGGTCCCTCACTGAAAAAGTCAATGAGTCTTTCAGCTGCAAAAGTCTAACACATGTCATTAACAAATCATCAATAGGGGGGGGCTGAACCGACTCCTCTTCTTGCTCGGAGGTGCCCGTATTTGCAACTGCATCTTCTTTTCCAGAGGACCCCGAGTTCCCTAAGGACATGGCCAGTGCACGAGCAAGCTCATCATCTTCTTGAGCTTCCTCAGGATGAGAGAACAACCATTCCATCGCCATCTCCACACTGTTTGTGCCCACTTGCCTTAGAGCTTCCTCTGCCCTTGACCTTGAAAACCCCATTTCTACAATAACAGAGATTGTTGATTCATCTGGAGGCGGCCCAGCCAGCCGACCAGCAGTGCTGCTATTTACTGACTTCACATCAACCCCAGAATAAACATGGCGTATGATAGAGAAAATCGAGGAGACAAATTCAAGATTGCATTCTGAGAATTGGGGGTGATTCCAAATAGGAAGAATGGCCTTAAGAACTTTGGATTGAAGAACCCTCACAAATGCTTCGGCATCTCTAGGAATTGCCACATTACCCGATATAAGAGGTTGGCAGAGCAAGTGCTTTGTGAAGGGGGAGTATATAAAAGAAGAAGTCACAAGGTGGTCCATAAGCAAAGTATAGCTGGCCAGTGGTCCATATATCCATGAGTGGTCAGTGTCATCCCTTCCATCTTGTCTAGGATTCCCATCCTCTGTCTCCATAGGAGAAGTGGGTGGCCTAATGACAGTAAAAAGCAACTGACTGGTGGCTTCGAAAGTGGTGAGAATAACGTGAATGACCCCACGCACATAGAAACAGTTCACCAAAATGGGGTTACAAGATTCTGGCCTGTCCAAAATAATGGCATCAATGAAATCAATGACCTTACCCAGGTAGCGACACTTGGTCGATACAAACGAGTCTGATTTTGAAGGATCTAGGTGGCCCCCAAAGTTCAAATTGTCCAACAATATGGTGGCCATCGTGGAAACCACTGATTTCGCAGAGGATGACACATTGGGAGAATCATCACGCCTTCGAGAAGGAAGCAACATCGATTTGCCTAATTCAGAAAACAGGTGGCTGATGTGAAAAGAAAGGGACCTCATCATATCACAGCATGAGGTATGATAGGATTTTTCCTTATCACCTGTGGCACCTGTAGGTGTAACCCCCTCAGAAGGGCCTGTTAGTTGTCGAGCCCCACTTCCAAATCGTGAACTCGATGAGCCATCCATGCCAGCTGATCTCTGATGGAACCCAGTAGCTCGCCCAAAATCTCGATAAAGGCTTATGAGGTCAAAGAACTGAGACTCTGCACTCCAACCAGATGGCAATCTCTGTCGCCGAAATAACGGATCAAGTAACTGCCTGAAAGGGCTAAATCTTGGCTCATCAGCATCACCTGTGCTTGTATTTTCCAATCCCTGTGATCCCCCACTGGAAGAACTTGCACCATTTTCATCCTTTACATTCACTTTGGAATCCTCAAGGAGGGCAATTTGCCATAGAACTTCTCGGTGGAGCCGACCGATGTCTTCAAGAACATCCTTGCCACCGTTTCCAAACTCATTGAGTAAAGCAGCCATCCACCGGTTCTCCCTTGAAGCATCGGCAAGAAACAGGAGGAACTCGATAACAAAAAGGCCCGAGAATATATCCTTCCTAGGAGAAATTCCGGGAGCCAGTAAAAATGACCCCGCAACAGGGCTCAACCCATCGAGAGCCTGTTTCAAATGGTCCCTGAGATGAGAACAGAAGGCTTGTGCAAGTGTGGAAGAGTGTTGCTGAGTAAATCCCTTGAAAACAGCTGTTGTGTGAACAGCTATAGACATTCCTTCAGATGACTGTGCAATGCTTGGCCTCAAAAGAAGCTTCATTATGGCCTCTATGCCCTTCTTCTCCACAAATAACCTGCAAGTTTCTGCATTTTCCACAGCGCGATGAACCAAGACCATAACGTGAAAGATGCATAGCTGCACAAAGCGCTCACAGCTGACCCCATCAGTAGTACCATCCATTGCCTCAACCAGATCCATGCCCCCATCAGTTTCTCTCTCTTCAGGATCAGTTTCCATGGCAGTGTTTTCATCGATTGGTTCAGAGGAAGAAGCCCCAGAGCATGAACCCTCACCCAGACAAGCAAGTTTCTCAAGAATCTCAACAATTATGTCAACCCCAGTTCCTCTCAAAGAAGATACATGCCTCAATAGCTCCTCAACTGCATTTGCAAGAGGAACGATGCCTTCATTAAGTGCCACCAAATACTTCCTGGACGTGAAGATGGTGATAAGAAACCGAAGAGCATTCTGTTCTTTGACCGCCTCCAAACCCTTGGGGTTCAAGCAGACTGCACCGAGACCATTGGGAACACATGAGACGGCTCGTGAGGAAGGAAGGATCCCCTCCGTCACCGAACTCAGAAAGGCATTAGGAAGACCTGATTCATACAAAATGGGGAAACAAGTTGGGTCCTTGTGAATGATTTCACTCATTACAGTGACACCCGAGGCATAAATATCACCCCCAAATCTCTTCGCATTCCGAAATATTAGGGACAAAGAAGCGGGCAAAGAGGTCTCGTAAGAGCTCTGAGGTCTCGAGGAGTTACTTGCGGTATAAGTAGCAGACCCAAGTGCCTTAAGCAGTGTCTTGATGAGCCTCTTTTGCGAGAATAACATCTCATCATCAAAGATCAGAGCTTCCCCGATGCTTGGTGACTTGTCATTCAGACTAGAGGCATCAATTACTCTGCTAAGCTCTACTTGCAGCCTCTGAATCAGAAACTCCAACCCACCAAGATCCCTAAACAAGGTCACAGCCACATTACTGTAATCCATAAGCTTTTGAATTATTTTCACTGCCGTGCAAACCAAGTGCATGTGACCAGGGTGGTTGTCCTGCAATAGGGGCAAAAGAGCAGGAACCAAACCCGATCCTCTAATCCCACTCCCCGAACTTGATGATGATATCACATGGAGAAGGAAGAAGTGTAACATGGCATCCACAAAGAGAACAGAGGATGGGTCGGTGGGGCTGCTTAGTGACATGACTGCCTTCTGTAACACACTTAATAGAAGCATCCGGTTCCCTCCTGCAGATATAATGCTTGACCCACTCAGTATTCGGGCCCTTTCATGGGAGGACGAGTAGGCAGCTAGTTGAGCTCCCAAAGCAAGCATGGCCAGAGTCCTTATGTTTTCAGGAACCGCGTGCACAGAACGAACGAGATTGATTAGTTCGACAGTGCATTCCGGTTCATTAGCGAAGAAGGCCACTAACTCCTCATGGGCATCACTGGACTGAACCAGAACAATAAAGGCAAGAAGACAGATCCTGCTATATTGCCTGGAGATTCGAACGGAACGGAAGGCCCGAGCATATCTGATCCTGGTCAGCAAAGAAAACCTTTGCTCTTGCGGAACATTATATTGATCAACCAACTGATTTAAAATAGCTAAATCATCCTCTTGCCGAAGATTAAGATCCTCCATGTGAATGACACATAAACTTGTAGAAGCATGGGAAGTTCCATCATCCCTTTGTTGCCAGGCTGGGACTTGGAACTCAAAATGTAGGGTCGAGCCCAGTCGATATTGGGTTTTATCAGAATTGTTTTCTGCCTCGGATGGGAATAAACATAGGCCTTCCTCTTTGTTTCTCTCATTGGCCACGACGCATGAGAACAAACCCAACCCCTCTTCTTTGCTTCCCCAGCCTTGGGCTAGAGCCAGCAGACAATTGTTCAGAACACCACATCCAAGCAGCTTTCCATTCACATGCAACTTAGATGGGTTTATCCTCACTAAAGAAGCAAGTGTCTGTAGAGTGGCCAGGAGAATCTCTGGATCGGTAGATGAAAGCAGGAGATTGAAATGCTGATGCAGTAAAACAATAAGAGGAAGTCAGACCAAGAAGCCCACAGCGGAGATGCATAAATAAGTAAACAAACAAATAGAAGAACAGAATAAATCACAAGCCAAATATCTAGGGGACTGCATTATGCTCCTAGTCCATTAGAAAGAGTATGACTACCAGAGAGGGACATGACCCCAATGCCAGGTCCACAACCTTTTCATCGCTATCCATAATTCACTGGATGGTCCCCAATGAACTAAGGTCTTCCAAAGTCCATTGGACTAAGTATACTATATATATGCAAACACGCAAGCACGCAAACACCCATACACACACATGCATATAGACAGTCATAAACTTCTTGGGTTTCAGCATGAAGCTGAAACTCAAAATCATATTATAAACAAAGAAGTACAGCAAAAATGCAGGTTATCAAGTTACCATCAATAGCAAGCTAAGAGGAACAGAAAAATGCAATTAATAGCGAATATCTATGTAACCATGCAATTTAACTTTCCATGATATTTATGGCTCACCTCTAGGCCACTGAATGAACTTTTGTTGTGACAGTTCTCCAGAATAATTTGCATGACTCTTAATATTTGCAGGACCGCATGTTTTGGAAAAAGAGCATCTTCACCTGTCATATTATCTGACAGAAGGAGATCTTTCCGACAACATACATATGACTTGAAGTATGTATCAAAATGGAGGAATAGTGGTCTCCAGTGATGGAAATTTCCCTGAAAGAATAACCAACCATAATTTATTCAAAAGACAAATGATAAAATAAGCAAGTATCCAAACTGAAACTTGAGAGAGACTATACCTTATTGTACTCCCAATGAAAGCCTGATAGAGGTATTGCTATATCTGACAGTGGACTTTTAATCACCCTGTCAATAAATGCTTTTATTTTGGGTGGCTGCAAAAATTAATGTAATACGTGGTTAGTCAACATTGAATGTTTTTTTTTTTATAAAGTTCACCTAACATGCATATTGAATGTTGATAAACAAAGATAGTAATACTTATATTTATCAGGTTTTCTATTTGCACAACGCTCTGCAAGCCTAACATACCAGAGGCAATCAACAATAACGTGCCAAAATGAACTCTTGAAAGAAAATGCAACAACATAATTCTTCTAGTGGTTATTCTCCAAGAAACATATTTTAAGAATTAAAAATGTGAGACTAGCATCTCATATTTTATGTGGACATCTACTTGAGCACATTAGAGAATATCATGTCAATTATCATAATGCATAACCTTTTTCTTTCCAAAACTCAACAAATGTAATGTAACAATTTTCTATGAGAGCATGCATAGGATGCATAATATCCAGAGGTATATTTTCTTGAGTCGGCAAGCATGGGAATTGAATCATGACTCAAAGGTTCAAGGGAACCATTACATGCCACAAGCTTACAGTTTAGGTCCCAGTATAGATCTATCAATTATTTCTTTCGAGGAATTCATCAGAGACCATGTTATATGACCTAGGTTCTGAATAGAATACAATTTTCATATATCATATGTTTAAGCTGAGACTTAGTGACGACAAATAGAGCCCCTATTTCGCACTGTCTTAACTGTAATCTATTATCTATATCCATATATGGTGTTTATTTCATTCCAAAAAAAAGACAAATACATGGTGTTATTCATATATCTATGCTCAGACAAACATATACATCTTTCTGGATTTCCTAGTTGGTATATGACAATGGCATATGGATATCCAGGATAAAACAAATGAAACAGCAAGATACAATAGAAAAATATCCATAAAACAATAATAAATTCAAAAAGAAAGAATACACCTAAATAAACCAGCATTCATGCATCTATAATTCGAATTTCAAAACAAGTCTCCAACCAACTCATCACTCTAGAGATCTCTCTCCTCCTGCCATGCCTCTCTCACTGACTCATTCCAAGGTTCCAGAATTTCCACTTCAGTACTCCCATTTCTGATGAAAGTTTCCAAGTTCTAGAAAGGGGAAGAGAAGCTTGGTTCTCGTAGAGGGGGGAATGATATAGATCCTTTTGAAACCCAATAAACCAAATATTAGTAAATAACTAAATATTATGTCAAAGGTACATGTCTTAGATAAAAGAACCTCTAGATTTTTTTTTTTTGTTTTCCTTTTTCTCCTTTTTTTTTATTAGCATAACTTCTTGATAATATCTCGTTGACCATATTTGGCTACAACGTAGCAACAGCCTATAAACCTCTAAAATTCAACAATATACTATTTTTACTTTATTCAATCAACACTGAGGATGATAGTTTTCACCAATACCACTAGACCCAAAGAGGTCAAAAGTGTGAAATTCAAAAAAATGTTTTCTTATAATTTGAAAAATCTGACTCTCTTTCAAAGAAAGAAAAAGTAATATTCTCTGTAAGTTAACAAAAATACAATTTAAAAAGTGATTAATACATTCTGACGAATTACAAATTTCCAGGAAATGTATACAAGTAATATTCTTTCATAATACATCGTCTTCTAACTTCTGATATCATCTCAAATTCTCAATAAAAAAGAGAAAGGATTGGATATAGAAACTAATGGAGCTGAGCGTTTTTTCCAATATTTTGTGCGAAGTTCTAAACAACCAACACTAGACAAGTCGCTGATCAATGAAGTAAAGGGAAAAAGAGGAGGAAGAAGAAAACACTTGGGAACTTCCAATCTCTGAGCATATTACATGACTGATGGAACCCTCACTCTACATATGTTTCACAAAAAGGATATCAAACCCTAGCCATGCAACAAAACCTAAGAACCAAATTAACAAGGAGAGTAGAACTTATAATCCTAAACTCCAGAAAATAAATGAGTTCCTAAATCATCATAAATAATAGATGTCCTTTACCTTTATCAAAGGAGTCAACATTTCAAATCCGAAAATGGAGACCATAACACAGAATGAAACCCTAAATCCCATAAAATCAATAGAAAACCCTAATTCCCACAAAAAAAGCAACGAAAAAAATAAACCTTCTAGCGAAAACCTAATCCTTTACACATGCATCCATTCCTATTCTTCACAATTCATGGAAGAAAGAGGCCAACTTTGGAATCCAAATTGATCGATCAAATAACAATCAAGGAAACTAATATTATTACCCTTTCAAACAAAAAAAACTTACCGGTTCAGTGTCCAATTTAACAGAGGGTCTCATGGTGGCTTCGCCGGATAAAATCTGGCGCAGCCGCAAAGGTGGGCTGGCTAGAATCGAGCCCATCAAATCTCCAGATTTTCTCTGCTATCAAAGCCTCCTAGAGAGAGAAAATAGCAGAACCCATAAGTCATTTTTTCACAGATTAACAGGCAATAAACCCATCAAATAAAGCAATAACAAGACAGACAAACACAGGTATTTCGCTTGCCTTTTTCAATCAACAGGGTTACAGAACTCTAGAGAGAGAAAATAGATGCTACACATCGATGGCAACCACGCGAAGCAAACCCAACACAAGGGTTTCCACTTCTCTCTCTACTCTATCTCTACCTTTTCTCTCAATCTCTAAAACTTTTTTCCTCTGCTTTGGAGGAAGTGAGGAGTTTTATAGGGCAAGAAGCGAGATGACTATACAATCCCTTCTTCCCCTGGGTGAGGTGTTTTAGAGAGAGAGAGAGAGTAGAGTCGAGAATCTTTGGGGAATTTTGTAGAGAGAGAAAATGAAATCGGAAGAGAGGGACGGTGTGCGTTGCCGCTTTGCAAAAAGAAAGTCGGTCCTTAGCATCGATTTATTTATCACTCGGGGATTAATTCTTCTTTTTCTCTCTAAATATTTTTCTCTAGTGGAAATTCTCTTTCTAAATATCTCTCTAAAGTCGGTTTCTTAACCTAGGGTTTAAATATTTTAGACCGCTCCGTTTAAATTTATGCAACCTCTCCTCATAACTCATCCAAAATTACGATTCAAAATATTAGAAAATCTTTTTATCGCTCAATTTGAATATTATTATTGCAAAAAAAATTAAAATTTTAGAAAAAGGAGCCCAAGATTATTCAAGATTTGCAACGGTACGTCTTAGGTTCAATTTTTACCAAAAAGTAGGGGCTCTCCTCACTTAGTCACCCAATAAAAATTAGTATTTAAAACTTTAAAAATAGTATAGATTATAACAAATTATCTAGACCGTCTATTCGCCTAAAAATAAGTATTCATAGATTTACACGATGTGTATTGTTTTTTTAGTTTCAAATTTTATTATTGGTATTGGAAATTGATTTTAGAGCCATAATGGAGAGTTCTTTTGCCGAAAATGCTTTCTTGATGAGGATTTGAGTGAGGCCATTTTTATATCTTTGTAAAGCCTAAAATTTATAGAAATCTCATCCTATATTTTATTTAAAGGGATGTATAACATAAGACTGTTTATTTTTAGTATAAAGAAGCCACAAACAAACAAGGGGATATATAACATAAGATTATTTATTTTTAGGACAAAGTAGTGACAAACAATATGAGAAGTGAAATCCAATATATTAAAATATTGAAAAGTGTCACCATGTGCAAACATCCTTTTAACTCATACACCCTTGGTGGGGCATATTATTCATTTATTCCATCAGGGAAACCCTAGTTGGAAGACTATTTATAGGAACCCTAATTTTGGAATGTGAACTCTTCGACCTATACACTACTCTTTCAAAGAAAAAAAAAATCAAAAATCTTGCATTGTACTGAAAACAATATTTTCCTAATACATAAATAAACAAATTTGAAAAATCAAAATCCAAATTTATTTATTTGGCAATATTGATATGGTGATTCTTAGGTGAACCCTAAAATTTTTAATCAACGACATTATCTCAATTAGCTTTTTTACCTGATAGAATAAGTATACAGTTTGCTCCCATGAGAGCATGGCTCATGCAATTTCTCTCATTTATCTATACAACACTCTTTTAACTCGTGGAATATTCTTTTTGAATAGTAGTAACTCGTAGATATTTAATCTTCGATCCCTTTAGTCATAGAATAACCTCTCTCTCTTTCTCTCTCCTCAGTTCCACTAGGCTCATAGAACTCTCTCTCTCAGTTCCTCTAGGCTCATAGAACTCTCTCTCTCCTCAATTCCTCTAGGCTCATAGAACTCTCTCTCTTTCTCTCTCCTCGGTTCCTCTAAGCTCATAGAAGTCTCTCTCTCCTAAGTTCCTCTAGGCTCATAGAACTCTCTCTTTCTCTCTCCTCAGATCCTCTAGGCTCATAGAACTCTCTCTTTCTCTCTCCTCAGATCCTCTAGGCTCATAGAACTCTCTCTCTATTTGTCTCTCCTCATTTCCTCTAGGCTCATAGAACTCTCTCTCTCACTTTGAGAAAATAAATTCTTATTTCTCTCCCTCTCTCCTTGTTATCTTAATGGAGAAGTCTTGATCTCTAATGCTTTACGGTAAAACCCTTTTTGGGTGACGCGTTTGTTGAACGAAACTACAACTAAAACACATTTATGGAAAAAGTTTATATAATTTGTTTTTAGGAAAAAATTTATATACCGTTGCAATTATAATTAAATATGTATCTCAAAAATCTATCGAAAGATATTGTTTTAAAGTTGAAAAACCTTCTAATTGCTCGACAAACGAGATGTATGAATATTGAAAAAAAAAAAAAATGTCGGGTCAATTTCAAGATTTTTATATGTTTATATATCTATTTAATTTTAGCTATTTTTGGAGGGGAAAAGTTTATATAGAGCCTAGGCTCTAAACAATCAAATTAGAGCCTACCTCAAACTTCACAAGAAGATAGTGTTTTGATGCCCAAATATCATCAAATTGATCATCTCGACATCAAGATGCATGAACATGAGAGAAAAATGGATTTCAAGTTTTGGAAATAGTGCATCTTGTAATGCACTTTTGGACCGTCAATTTTTAAGATTTTCAAGTTTTCATAGATATACTTGATCAACACTATTTTTGAAGCTTTAAATTTTATAACTAAAGAAAAATATAATTTAAGGCTATCACAAAACTTTTCAGTATTGAAACCATATTTCTTGAAACTATTTGAAGGTGGACTCGAATTTGATTGTTAAGAGTCTGGGCTCTATACAAACCGCACCCCTTTTGGAGTTTAAAATTTTATATTTAGATATGGAAATAGATTTTCAAATAATCCTAATAATTTTTTACACCAAAATTACATTTTATGATAAATTTTTGAGGTGCGTCTTAATTAGATTGTTTAATGTTACAACCTTACAAGAACCGCACCCTTTTTTTAATAGGGAAAAAGTTTATAGAATGTTGACACCATAAATGTAGAATTAAGATGTAACCTAAAAAATCCTTTGAAAAAGGTCGTTTTGATGTTAGAAAAACATCTAATTGATCATTTCGACATCAAGATGTTCATAGATAGAGAAAAAAATATTTCAAGTCCCAAAAACAATACATCTTGCAAAATATTATCTAGACCGTTTAATTTCAAGATTTTCTTATATTTTATAGATACGCTTGATTTGAACCATTTTCAAAGTTCAAAATTTTGTAATTAGAGATAAAAATAGATTATCGCGCCATCTTAAGAATTTTCGACACCAAAGTTATATCTTATGACAAAGTTTGTAGGTGTGCCTTACTTTGATTGTTTAAGGTTGCAACCTTATGCAAACCACACTCATACATAAATGCTAAATATAAATATATCTTTTTTATTTGTAAATACTTTTTTTTGCGAGGTTTAAAACTTTTTAGAAAAGAGAAGCCCTCTATCAAACTAAGAGTTCTAGTCATTGTTTCAAAACTCAATGATTTCCGATCTAGATCACCGATTCGAATGGGAATTGGTTGGGGCTGAACCAATTCTTGCACAATATAGGTTCCAACCTAGTTCTAATGTAGGGAAAATGGAAAAGAAATAAAATACCCTCTCAGGGTAAGGAATCCACCGCCAAATATATCTTCACAATTATCCAAAAACCAATCATTTTCTCTTCATTTTTTTTTATCTAACAATTACATATTTATACAAAAAATAAACATAAAACCTAACTTTCTCCATAATAAAATATTAATAATATTAAATCATCTGATTTTGGCCTTCAAATCTCTACAACATAAAAAAAGAAATAAACACTGCTAAATAATATTAAAAATCCAATATAACTCCAAACCTAAAAATATATAAAATAATAAAATAAATAATTAGAGCATCTTATTACATCATTCTTTTGGTGTTGGGAGAAGCTTGACCTCGAGCTTGCGAACTCAACATATCTTTTACTAGCCTTTCCAATAGTTGTTGATATGGTCCTATCATTTATTTTAGTACTTTTTCTTCTTTAATTAACCCGAAAATTAAATACTTGATGTGCAGCTTATAAGGGAACTCTAGGATACCAACCATGATCTTGATTTATTTTTTAAGCTCCTTATGTAACTCTAGAAGATTGATATTAACATAAAGATTTGTTAGATGTTTATCAGATCGTGGTTATTGCATGACAATTTGCTCATTACCTATATAATTGGCATCATGAATCAATTGTGAAGGTAGTTTTGTCTCTAAGGTAAAAGTTAGTTGCACATCTACGTGATTGTGAGTATCTTCTTCTTGAATAATAGTATCCTCCAACTGTTGCAACCTCCAATTTACTTCACTTACCTCTGCTTGGCTACTCTATGGGGCTTTATTGTGTGGCATTAAATCATTTATCCCAACTTTTACAACCTCCAATTTATTTCACTTACCTTTGCTTGGCTACTCAATGGGGCTTTATGGTATGGCATTAAATCATTTATCATAAGAGCATGTTTTGGTGGCATTGTGATAATTGGATCTTAGTTCGTTCTAATAACAACTCATGTACAAAAGATGGAAAAGAAATAATTAAATAAATATAGGAAAAATAGGATAGAGAATACAACCTCTCTTAGAATCTGTTGGAAGCCAACTTCAAAGATCTCTTCACAAGATAAAAAAAAATCAATTATTTTCTCTTCACTATATTTTCTTGATCTAATAGTCACATATTTATATAATAAATTAACATAAAACCTAACTTGCTCAAGGAAAATTCATAATTAATATTAAATACTCCAATTTTCCCCTCAAATCTAGAAAATAATATAAATACCCCTAAAAAAGATTAAAAACCCAATATAACTTCAAACCTAAAATCTAGAAAATAATAAAATACAATTCTAAAAAACCTATTACATAAAGTTCCCCCTTAAAACTCTCCCCTCTTATATGTATTTTTTCTTTTCTTTTTTTCTAGAAGCTCGTGTAATAGTTTCTTAGGTCCCTTCTAATCCCCACCATATAAACCTCAATCTTTATTTTATTTTTTATATTTTTTGGATGATTAATTCAGGCCCCTCCATATTCGATTTGGATTGTCTATATAGCAATCCAACAAGGATTTGAAGGCGAATGATTTGTCCCATCAATCTAGTAACAATGGTGGTGTTCTAGTAACCGGTAAATACTTTTTCAAATAATGAAAATTAACAAACTTCGCCCAAAAAGATGTACAGAAAAATTCATGCTATGCAGCATTAATATACAAAGAGAACATTTACTTTTAATATAAGGATGTCATAATGACTTTTGTCCGCTAGATTTCAAATCGGGTGGTTGTGAGCGTGTGATTGACTAGACTCAAAGTTCAGAAAAAAAAATTTGAACTTTGTGACATATCTCAAACCATCCAATTTGACATCTAATGGCTAAC